ATAAAAAAATCTTTATTTATTATAGGGCTATGGCGGAATTAATATTAAATAATAATTTAAACTTATTATTTAAGGTTATTACTTATTTTATATAATTACTAAAAATAAAGCACTATATTATAACATTATATTACTTTAAAATAAATAAATATATTAAGTAATTAAATAAAATTTTTAGCTTAATACTTATAAAAATACTACTTAAAAAGCTAATAAAACTATAAAATTAATACTTAAATTAGGTATTATTTACTACATGTATTAAATTATATAATATTACTAGTATAAATTTTTTTAAACTTTTATATAATATTTAACCACGCCTTTTTATAAATAATATATTTATAAAAACTATTACCGCGAAGGATTATATTTTTAAGTTATAATATACTTAAATTATTATTAATAAATACTTATTAACTTATGCTATTAAGTAATAGCATATTTATAATTATAAAATAAAATATTACTTATTTTAAAAAAATAATTAGGTCCTAGTTAAAAATAAAAACCTATAAAAATTTAATACTAAATAATTTAAACTTTATAAGGTGCTAAAATTACACCTACTAGGTATATATATTATTACTAAACTAAATAAACATGTTATTTATAATTTTATTAATAAATAACGCCTTATTTATATAAAAGTTAATAATTTAAAAAAGCTTTAGGCAAGTATATAATTATAAAAAGCCTTTAAAAAGTAAGGCCAAAAAATTATAAAATTAATTAAGGTATAATAAATTATTAATACTATTAAGTCTTTAACCCCCTTTTATTTTAACTTGTTAATATAAACAAGGGTAAAATAAAATAAGTATAAAAATAAGGGATTATTTTTAAACTAAGTAGGGAAGGGTACTATTATTAATAAGCTTGTTATTAAAAATAAAAAGCATGCTAAAAAGGTAAGAGCTTTTAAGGCTAGTAACACTTTAGTAATAAAAATATTATAAATAAAAACTTATAACCCTATTTAATATATATTTTTAAAGTTAAAACTAAATAAAAAATAAACTTTAGGAAGAGACTTACTAATCCTAACTAATAATGTAATAAAAAAAACTATTAATAAATACTAAAAACGCCAACCTTTATAAAATACTAAAAAAACTAGTATTAAGTATAACTTTGCTATTATTATTTTAAATTATTATATTTAAAAAAAAGTATTTTATAAAAAAAAAAGTATAGTACCCATGCCAGGAAGAACCCGGCAGGCAGCTTACTAATATTTTATTTATTTTATTTAAAAAAAAATTAAAAATTAAAACTAACTTATGCTTTATTATTATTATAAACTATTTTATTACTAGCCTTAACTATATTTAAATTTTTTAACCTACTTAAAGTAAACACCACCTGCTATTTTATATTTAAATTTATCTTATTAAACTTGGCCAGCTTTTTATTTATAACTATTTTATTATTAGTATTTATACCCATGTTTTTATTTTTATTAAAACCTAAATTATTATTTAAGACCTTGCAGAAATAACTAATTTTTTTTAAATTTTAAAAATAGGATTTTTTTTTTATTATTTTATTAAGTGTTACTTACAGGCTTAAGACACCTAATATTAATAATTAAAAATATTATTAATTAACTTAAAAAAAAGACTTACCTTTAGGAAAGAATATTAACAAAAAACTAAAATTAAAAAAGGGATTTAAATAAATTAAGTTAATATATATTTTAATATTAATAGTACTAATCCCTGTATTAAAAAAAATTTTAAAAAAAAATAGTTAAAGGTAAAAGGGCACTTACCTGCACTTATTAAGTTTAAAACTTAAAATTATTTTAAAAAAAATTAAGCTACTTAAACCTTTGTTTTAAGGCAAGGTTTAACTAAATTAAAAATTTATTAATACTTTTAAAATATATTAATAAGCTTAAGGGGCTGGTAGCAAGGCAAGAAAAAAAGTAAAAAATTAAAAAAAAGTAATAACAAGGAAAAGCCCTAGCATAAAAGCTTAATTATATTAATAAATTAAATTTTAACCTAAATTACCGGGATTAACTTTAAAATAAAGTAAGTAAAGGTATATTATTAATTAAAAAGCCCTTAAATTATTAAGACTTATTAAAAGTACTTTTAGGCTTTTTTATAAAGTAATTAAAAAAGGCTATAATAAAAGCTTTTTATTTAAGGGATTATAAGGCAGGATAGTAAATTCCTATATAAAATTTAAAACTTTGCTAAAAAACTAAAAAAAAAAAGTAAAAAATAGGTGCTAGCTTAGGAACAGTATAATATTTTTAAAAAAATTTAAGGCTTATTATAAGATTTTTAATATTATTAATTATATTATTAAAATTTATAAACTTTATTTTCTTATTATTACTAGGGTTAGTTTTTAAAATAGTAAATTATATAGGCTTCTTGCCCTTACTTTTAGCTAGTAGTTAATAATTATACTTAAATACCTTATTAAAATTTGCCTGCTTTTTTAAAGCCTGCTTTAATAATAATACTACTTGCTTTTTTATTATATAAATTTTATTTATTTTTATTATATAAATTATTATATTAAAGGTCTTATACTTTTTAATAAAACTATAAGATATTAGTAATTAAGTATTATAAAAAAAAACTTATGCTATTAACTTATTATTTTACTTATTAAGCTAAGGGGACACCATAGTTTAAAAAAAATATTAAGCTTATTAATATATAAAAATATAATAAGTATATACTTTTTAAAAAAGTGCTTAATTCCTAAGCTCGGGGGCTTAAATATAGGTAATAAAAATTATTTTAAAAAATATTTTATAACTATTATAAGCTACTTTTTAATTAATAGCTATACCCTGCTACTACAAGACTATAATAAATTATTAATATTAATTTTTAATAATATAAACTTCGCGCGCGCTAAGCCTAGTAAATACTTAATTTAAGTTTTTATATATAAAAAAAAAAGCCTTAAATAGCTTTAAAAGCTTGTAAGATTTTATAAATATAATAATATATTAGCTTTTACTATTATTAACTAAGCTAAGAAAAAAAGCACTTATTAAAAAAGGTTAAAAAAAAATTATTTATTATTTTACTACTAGTGCGGCCAGTCCTTACCTTTTTAAAAAAAAAAGTTACCATAATATCTTGCTTGTGCTTAAAAAATAACACGCCAGACTTTTTAAGGGCCATAATAAAGGATTTTAATAAAGAAAGAACAAGAAAGGAAGCTAGAATATTTAAAGGATTTATGGGGAGTTCTGGGGAGATGTGGAGGAAGAATAAAGAAGTTAAAGGAGAGAGAGCCTTATATAGGCGCGGGGTTAACCTTACTTTGGTATTAAATTCTTATTAAGATTTATAATAAATATTTATTATTAGTTTTTTAAAAGGGCTAGCCTTTTTAAGAAGTTAATAGCCTATAGTTTTAACCTTTTTTTTAAACTTTTTTTACTTTTTACTTTATTTTACCTTAAAAAAATAAAAAGCAAGCCAGGGCAAGTTATGCCTGGTAAAGTTTTTAAAAATAAAATATAAATAAGGGCTACTATAATTAATAATATTAAGTTAAAAATATATTAAGCAGTTTTTATTAATATTAGCAAGCTAAAATTTTTTGGTTTTATACTTAAAAAAGCTATTTTATAATTTATAAATTTTTTTATTATAAAAAATAATAAGATTTTTTATATACTATAATATATTTTTTTTTATTTATAATATATTAAGGGCTTTAATAAAAGTTTTTAATTTTTTATATTTATATTAAAATATATTTAAAAACAGGGGTTAATATCAAAAGTATTATTTTATTTAAATAAAAAAAATATAATTTTATTACTAGTGTTAATACCTTAAGCTACTTTATTAACCATAGTAATATTAAGGCCTAAAAATATTAATAATTTTAAAAAATAATACTTAAGCCTTACTACCCTAAATAAAAGTTATATAAAGTATTTAAAAGCCTTAATAAAAAATTTTTAAATAATTTTATATTTAGTTCCTCCCTTATATATTTTTTCTTAATTGCCCGGCCTTACCAGCCGGGTGATCTCCAGCGCTAGCATTATCACATTACTATCCTTCTTTCTAGGGCGGGAAAGTATCTTATTAATAATAGTATTAATTTTTAATATTATTAAAAAATAATTAACCGTGTAGCTTTATTATTTATAATTTTTTTTATTTTTTAGGCGCTGCGTAATTTTTTAAATATTAAGCTAAGTAAAAAATAAAATAATTTTATTATAAAATATCCCTTAATAATATATTACTAGTACCTAAGGTATTTAAGTAGTTATTTTAGGCCGCGGGCTAGTAGTACCTTTATTAATTATAAAGGTAAAAATAAGGGTAAAAGTATTAATAATTTTATTTTTTAAAGGGGTAAATATATTAAAATAATAATATAATTAATAAATAAAAATAATATTAAGTAAAACTTAAATTTAATTAATAAAAAATTTAAAGGCGTAACTTTAGCATGTAAATATAGCCTTAAATTATAAAAAAAATAAACTAAACTAAAATAGGAAATGAAACTTGCTTAAAGGTTTTTATATATATTAAAAAATTAATAAAAAATAATAAAATAGTGGCTAACTAGGCTACATAACCTAATAAGCAAAGAACTCTAATAGTATTAAAAAAGTACTAAGAAGCTAAGAATAACATGGCCACTAACTATAGTAGGCGGCGGCGCGGGGTCACCTGACCCGGATGACTCATCCTCTGACTCCCGGCTAGCTACCTCCAACAACTTTTGCGGGGTTCATTCCAATTCAGCCGGAACTCTGCATGCGAATCCCGTCGATCCCTTTCCCCGCTGCAGGACGCAGGCCATACACAAATACTTCCACCAACCACCATCATGGAGATCACCCGTGCCACCCCGCGGCACGCAAACAAACAAGCTCCCCAGCCATCCAGAATACCCTCTCAATAGCCGAGAGGACGGTTGATTTCCATAAGATCCGCACCTATCCGCCCACTGCAGACCCAAACTCGCCTTCCAACCTCCCCAGATACCAAATGAAGCCCAAGCTCAAGCCAGCCCTCACAATGAAGACCCTCACCCCCCTGCTCCTCGCCACAACCGCTCTATCTGCCCCATCCAATCCTCATCCTAACGCTCTGATCTCCAAATTCTCCTCCCTCATCGTCTTCGGCAACAGCTACACCGACAACGGCATCCACGCCTACACGCCCCCCGTCCCGCCGCAATCCAACCTCACCAGCACCGGCGGCCGCGTCTGGCCCAGCTACATCCAGCAATACACGGGGATAAACCTCTACGACTACGCCGTCTCCGGCGCCGTCTGCGACGCCGTGATCGCAAACACAGAACGCAACGGGATAAAGCAGGACCAGCTGCCTGCGTTCCTGGCGGACAATAGCTGGCGGGATACTCGCACCAATGAACCAGCCCTCCTCAACGACCCCGATAAAACCGTCTACGCCATCTGGATCGGCACAAATGACCTCGGCTACGGCGGGTTCCTGACGGAGGTGCAGCCGGCCGGGATGGCGCTGAGTTATTTCACGGAGTGCGTGTATGCGCAGCTGGACGCGCTGTATAGCGTCGGGGCACGGGCGTTTGTGCTTTTGAACATTGCGCCGCTGGATCTGAGTCCTGTTTATGCGAGGGCTCAGGATGGGGGACTCGCAACTCCGCTGTTTTGGACGGATAGGGCTGCGTATGAGGCGAATCTTACGCGCTCCAGCGAGAAGATGAGGCAGTATCTTACGATGGTGAATGAGGTCTTTGAGTATAAGACGCCTGTTGATGTTGTGCTCAACAAGAGGTATGCTGGGAGTAGGGTTGCGGTGTTTGATGTGCATGCTTTGGTAGGTGCCCCTGCTTTTCCTGGCTGGTGCTTGCTAATGCTGTCCAGATTACGGATATCTATGAGAATCCGGGGAGTTACCTTAACGGAACTGTGCCATTTAACGTCACGAGTACCGTGGAGCAGTGTGGTAGTGCGTGTGACGCGAGTGATGTCCGGGACAGTTATCTTTGGTATGATGACCTGCATCCCTCCGAGCAGACGGACCGAATCATTGCGCGGGAGTTTGTCAAGGTCGTCAAGGGAGACACTACGTGGGCGAGGTTCTGGAGGAGCTAATGGCCGATTTTGGGATGTTAGAAAAAGGACCTGCAGTGGCAGTAGAAGGGTTGGAGTGATATGATGCGTATCAGAATGGGGACTGATGCAAGAGTACCACGATTCTTTGTAGACCTCAGCAATAATAGAACCGGACTGGACGCTGATTGGCATGGATATGCGTACGCGTACGTATTGAGAAGACCGGGGAAGTTAGGGCTAAGTGAAGATCGGAGCTATTACCCTGCAAAGTAACGAAGCTGTCTCATCGATCATACCCTAATAGGGTACCTTAACCCTGCAAGATGATACAAGACCGTCCCTCAAACAGCCTTGCCTACCTTATCCGGCCCATCAACCTGCTCACGGCAATCCACCCCATCCACACCCTCGAGCACCTCCACCTCCACCTCCGACCTCCCCGCCTCCCTCCGATCCTTCCACAGCAAAACCGTCGTCCAAACCGCCATCCCCGCCCCAATCCCAACCATCGAGTACATCCCTCTCTACCGCAACACGTCAGCCAGGGACCGCCCAAAGCACCCACCTTCCACTCCCAGGTAATAGTGGGGGGGG